TAATCATATGTATATATGCACAAACAGGCATTTCTCTCAACTCCCTGGCATTTTATACTGTAGTCAGAACATTCAAAATAAGCCTACTCCTTTTATGAGCAGTCACTGTTTAGACGGTGACTTTTTCCTCTCCTTTCTTGTAATTTGAACTCTACAGCCAAAGCAGTCTTTAAATGACACAATCAAAGGCAAACTCTGCACTTGCTATAGTCTAAAGACCTCGTATGACTTCATTTTAATTAAACAGTGAGGAGACAAGCCGCAATGAAATTGCTCAAATGTCCAATTAGTTTTTGAGCCGTTGAAAATGACGGCACTGTGCAAAAATGGCTGTAATTCCTGAAGGGTTCAGTCCTTTATATTGACTCTAAAGGACTTTAAAAATATATCTGAAGTTCTTTGTGATATAAAAATGATAAATCATAAATGTATTCATCTAATCCTGCAAGTCCATCACCACACATTTGACTGGCTGACTCACAGTGCTGCCGTGCTGCTGCTCAGCATTTGATCACAGACATTATTGTGTTTCACTTATAGTAATGGGTAATGTGGAAGGCGTTTTTCAGACATCAGGAGATTTTTTTTTTTTCCTGGGTAGACTCTGTGAATCTAACATGCATGTGTGGGGTAGCGAACTCTCCATGAAAAGGCATCGAGAACTTCACACAGAGATGCCCCAGCTGGCCTGCGGGTTCTTGCTTGCACGCTAACCACTGCACAGCTGTTTATCATATTGACGTAAATGCAATGTCGCCCCTATGCCACTAGAGGGAGCGCTACACTCTTGCAGTCCACTTGCAACATCATTCAGGGAAATGTGTGATGTGTTTGTGTTACAGAAACAGGTGGGGAGTCTGTGCAACCTTTCTGCTGATGAAAGTCAGTCCTCTGTTAGTGCTTTGTTTTCCGGACCCACTAAGTGAAAGGTATGAAAATATGTTTTAAGGTTTGGTTTAAAGCACACAAACTTCATTTCACACTGTTTCATAAACTCATGGATGAACTTTGAGTGTCATCAAAATGAACCACAGTTTTTTTTATCTCAGAAGCTAAAGATGTAGACTATTATATTAG